CCTTAGGGGTGCTGTTTCGGACGCAAAGGGAGGCAAAACCTCCCCTGAGCTGTTTGTGGAGACTGAGGGGTCTCTAGGGGGTGCGCAACCTGAGAAGTTCCAGGGCCCCGGAGAACTCCCTTCGGCTCCGGCGAACGGGCAGGGGACGTTGGCCCGTCCCTACAAAAAATTCATCGGAGTCACCTGAAAATCCTCTAGAGGTAGGTTCTGGAATTCTGGGACCGGTCACTGGTGGTGGATTGTGAGAAGGGCTGGACGCGGCCTAACTTCTCCTTCCTTGGTACCCCTGAGACGTCAGAGGGTACTTCTGGCCTTGGTTTTCTTGGTTTTTGGTTTTGGATTTGTTTGTTTGTGCTTGGTTTTTGGATTTAGATTTGTTTGTTAGCCTTTTTGGCTTTGGTTTTTGTGAGTCCTTTTTGGTTTTATTTGTTAGCCTTTTTGGTTTTGGTTTTTGTTTGTGAGTCCAATGTATTTGTAAGTCTGATGTGTTTAAGCTGTCGATTTTGTTGCTTCGCTGAGATCCTCTTGGAGGACATTGAGTGGTTTCATCCAACCTCTTACTCAATTGAAGGATTAGATGAATGGATCACTGATCTAGGTTATCAAGGATCTCTAAGGGACTTCACCCCAGACGAGGTGACTCTCTATTCCTTTTTTCTAATCTGTATTTTGTCACTCCCTGATTAAAAGTTCCATTCCACAGGTAACACAAGAAGTCTTCTCACGGCCAGGGGCAGGCAACAGCTGCTTTAACTCTTTCCGCGCACTTGGCAGGCGGCGGCTAGGGGAAGACAAACTCCTTCTTGCTCTCCTCTTAGCTCAGCCCTTCCCTCCCGCGCCGTAATTATGGGGAACGGATCCAGTTCTAAAAAGGGCCCATTGGGTTGCATGCTGAAGCATTTTAGTCTGATGTGTTTAAGCTGTCGATTTTGTTGCTTCGCTGAGATCCTCTTGGAGGACATTGAGTGGTTTCATCCAACCTCTTACTCAATTGAAGGATTAGATGAATGGATCACTGATCTAGGTTATCAAGGATCTCTAAGGGACTTCACCCCAGACGAGGTGACTCTCTATTCCTTTTTTCTAATCTGTATTTTGTCACTCCCTGATTAAAAGTTCCATTCCACAGGTAACACAAGAAGTCTTCTCACGGCCAGGGGCAGGCAACAGCTGCTTTAACTCTTTCCGCGCACTTGGCAGGCGGCGGCTAGGGGAAGACAAACTCCTTCTTGCTCTCCTCTTAGCTCAGCCCTTCCCTCCCGCGCCGTAATTATGGGGAACGGATCCAGTTCTAAAAAGGGCCCATTGGGTTGCATGCTGAAGCATTTTAAGGAAGGGTTTCAGGAAGGGGCTGACTATGGTGTTAAGCTCTCAGCGGGAAAACTTAGGACATTATGTGAGTCAAAATGGCCCGCCTTCGGTGTAGGTTGGCCGGAAACAGGCTCCTTTGATCTCCGGTTGGTTCGAGCAGTCTGGGATGTTGTCACTGGGGATCCAGGGTATCCTGACCAGTTCCCCTACATAGATCAATGGCTGGCTCTAGTCCGGAATCCCCCGTCCTGGTTTAAGAATTGTGCCTTGCAGATAGGGGCCCGAGTCTTGGTAGTAGGACCTAAGGCCGATTCTAAGAAAATCCAGAAACCTGAAAATCCTGCTCTGCCTCCCACCCCAGGGCCCATTGTTCTGCCTCCCCCTCCTGAAGAAGCAGACTTGCCTCCTCCTTACAATCCTGCCCTTAAGCGCCGTACAGAAATGGCGGGAGAGGACACTCCCCTCTCGCCATCCCATACCCGGAGTGGTTCAGAGTATGGAAACTCTGAAACACTCCCGCGAGGGGGAGCAGCCTCCTCTGCCATCTTGCCCTTGAGAGAAACTCCGCGCCCGGGGGATGGGGAAATGGGAGGGCGCCCCTTCATGGTTTATGTCCCGTTCTCCACAAGTGACCTCTATAATTGGAAGACACAGAATCCTCCGTTCTCGGAAAAGCCTCAAGCTTTAATTAGCTTGCTTGAGACAGTTTTTTGTACTCATCAGCCAACATGGGATGATTGCAATCAGCTTTTAAATACACTTTTTACCTCAGAAGAACGGGATCGGATTCGTTTAGAAGCCCGGAAGGTTGTTCTCGGGCCAGGAGGGGGGTCACTTGAGGAAAACCGAGACCGGATCGAGGAAGCATTCCCCTCCCTTCGCCCCCGATGGGATCCCAATACCGATAGGGGCAGGACTTCTTTGGACAATTTTCGCCGAGTTCTCCTAGGGGGCTTAAAGGCAGCAGCTAGAAAACCCACAAATCTATCTAAGGTCACTGAAGTTATTCAGGGACCGCAGGAGTCGCCCGCGGCTTTTCTGGAACGTCTGTGTGAAGCTTATCGAGTTTATACCCCTATAGACCCGGATGCTCCAGAGAACCAGAGGGCAGTCAATGTGGCCTTTGTAGCTCAGTCATCCCTCGATATAAGAAGGAAACTCCAAAAACTGGAAGGATTTGAAGGAATGAATCTGTCACAGCTGGTAGAGGTAGCCCAGAAAGTCTTTAACAATAGGGACACCCCGGAGGAGAAGCAGGATAAGAGAGTGACTAAGGCAGTGGTAGCCGCATTAAGAGAAAGGGGCACCAAGACAAAAGGAGCAGGGGAAGGGAGAAAGGGAAAGAGAAACAGGGAGCAACTAGGCAGAAATCAGTGCGCCTATTGCAAGGAGGAGGGACACTGGAAACGAGAATGCCCTAGCAGACTAGCTAAGGAGAGGGACACACAAATTCCGCAGGTCTTAAATTTAGCAGAGGACTGACGCGGCCAGGGCTCCATTCCATTGAGCCCCCAGGAGCCCATGGTAACTTTGCAAGTGGGGGGCAAACCTGTTAGTTTCTTGGTAGACACTGGAGCAGCATATTCAGTCTTAACAGAGCCAATGGGACCCGTAACATCTAAGAAGTCTTCAGTCCAGGGAGCCACCGGACAAACTGCCCTTTTTCCTTGGACATCAAAAAGGACTGTGGACCTTGGAAAGAACACGGTAACTCACTCGTTTCTGGTCATGCCAGAATGCCCATACCCCTTACTTGGACGTGATCTCTTACAGAAATTACAAGCCACAATATCCTTCGAGGAGGACGGAGCATACTTCACCGTGGATCCAAAGAAACCAGACCCAGACCCGTCCTCCCCTGTCTGCATTCTTCTAACTTGTCCTCTCTCGGAGGAATATCTCTTGCAGGAAAAGGCCAAGGTGACGTCAGACGAGGGACCCGAGTCATCTTCATACTTGAGGGAATTACAATGTCTTTTTCCCATGGTTTGGGCAGAGAACAACCCCCCGGGGTTAGCGAGTCATCAAGCTCCTGTGATAGTCCAACTGCAAGCCACCGCCACTCCAGCTCAGGTGAGGCAATACCCCCTGAGTTTAGAGGCGAAAAAGGGAATTGCTAAACATATTTGCCGGCTTCGGGAAGCGGGAATTCTGATTCCCTGCCAGTCTCCCTGGAATACCCCCTTGCTTCCAGTTTTAAAACCTGGGACTAAAGACTACAGGCCAGTACAAGACCTAAGGGAGGTGAACAAGAGGGTTGAGACCATACATCCCACGGTACCGAACCCTTACACTCTGCTAAGTCTTCTGCCTCCAGAGAGACAATTCTACACGGTCTTAGATTTAAAGGATGCCTTCTTCACCATACCCCTGGCCCCAGTTAGCCAGCCTATCTTTGCATTCGAGTGGAATGACCCAGAGGGTGGATTCTCAGGACAATTAACCTGGACTAGACTGCCTCAAGGTTTCAAAAACTCTCCCACCCTTTTTTGATGAAGCCTTGAGCTCAGACCTACTTGCCTTTAGACAGGAGCATCCTGAATGTACCCTACTCCAGTATGTAGATGATCTTCTGCTGGCAGCAGATACTGAGGAAAATTGCCGACAAGCCACTGAGGGCCTGTTAGGCACCTTACAAGCATTAGGCTATCGGGTATCAGCCAAGAAGGCACAGTTGTGCTCCTCTGATGTCACATACCTGGGGTACATTAGCAAAGGCTGATGGACCCTCTCCCTCAGTCCAATAGAGGCAATCTTACGGATCCCCATACCTACAACCAAGAAGCAGGTTCAGGAATTCTTAGGGGCAGTTGGATACTGCCACATGTGGATACTGGGGTTCGCGGAGATTGCTGAACTTCTGTGCTCAAGCGCTGGGGAGGTGCAGCCGTTAAACTAGACCGAAGTAGAGCAACGGGCCTTTGAGGAGCTAAGGAAGACTCTCGTCTCAGCACCTGCCCTAGCCTAGCCAGACGTCAGGAAGCCCTTCCACCTCTACGTGAGTGAGGTAAGGGGCATTGCCAAAGGGGTTCTCACCCAGACTCTAGGTCCCTGGAAGAGACCTGTGGCCTATCTGTCTAAGAGACGTGCCTCCGGGCAGTGGCCACCACAGCATTGCTGGTAAAGGAGGCAGATAAGCTGACTTTGGGCCAGGAACTAGCCCTGACAACACCCCATGCTGTGGAAGCCCTCCTTCGTGGTGCTCCGGAGAGATGGATGTCAAACACCAGGGTGACCCAGTACCAAGCTCTTCTCCTGGACCAGCCCCGCATCCGATTCCATAAGACACTGGCCATCAACCCTGCCAGCCTGCTCCCAGATGATGATCCGGATGAGCCCATCCATGACTGTATAGAGGTAACGGATGCAGTACAGACAGCCCGCCCGGATCTGACAGATGTCCCGCTATCATCACCAGACGAGGTACTGTTCACGGATGGGAGCAGTTATGTTCAGGATGGGATCCGATATGCAGGGGCAGCTGTAGTCACCCTGGACCGTACCATTTGGGCACAGTCCCTGAATAGGGGAACCTCAGCGCAGAAAGCCGAACTTTTGGCCTTAATCCAGGCCCTTCGGTGGGGAAAGGGAAAAGCAATCACCGTTTATACCGATAGCCGGTATGCCTTTGCCACAGCGCACGTACACAGTGCCATCTACCGGGAAAGAGGGTTACTAACTTCGGCAGGAAAGGACATTAAAAATAAGGAAGAGATTTTAGCCCTATTAGAGGCCATCTGGCTCCCAAGGGCAGTTGCAATAGTGCACTGCAAAGGACATCAGAAAGGGGAGACAATTGAAGCCAGAGGAAATAGAGCCACAGACTAAGCTGCCAAGGAAGCTGCCCTAAAACCAGTGGGGCCTTTACACGTCTTAGTAACCCTGCCAGATCCTGACCTACCACAGACCCCCTCCTACACTAAACAAGAGGAGGAATTGGCAGAACGGAAGCAAGCCGTCAAAGGACCAGATGGCTGGTGGACTCTACCGGATGACAGACTGTTGGTCCCAGAGGCTCTAGGTCGGACGTTAGCTGCCCAGTTACACCAGGCTACCCACCTGGGTGTCTCCAAGACTTCTGAACTTCTGCGAGGCAGATACTACATACCAAGCTTAGATGAGATGATTAAAAGCATAGTCACTAGATGTACTGTTTGTGCACAGGTAAATGCTAAGCAAGGTAAGAGGGCCCCCCCGGGAATTCGGGCCCGGGGAAACTCCCCGGGAGAACATTGGGAGGTAGATTTCACAGAGATCAAGCCACCAGCATCAGGATACAGGTACCTGCTAGTTTTTGTAGACACCTTCTCAGGTTGGGTAGAAGCATACCCCACTAGGACAGAAACTGCCTCCGTAGTAGTTAAGAAATTACTCCAGGAGATTATACCCAGATTTGGGCTACCAGGGACCATAGGGTCAGATAATGGCCCCGCTTTTATAGCGAAAATATCTCAAAGTATAGCACAAATCTTAGGTATAAACTGGAAACTTCATTGTGCATACCGCCCACAAAGTTCAGGACAGGTAGAACGTATGAACAGAACTCTAAAAAAAACTCTGACTAAATTTGTCCTAGAAACCGGCGAGAATTGGACCAGCCTCCTGCCCTTCGCCCTCTTACGGGCCAGATGTACCCCCTACAAGGAGGGGTTCTCTCCCTTTGAAATCATGTTTGGTAGACCTCCCCCTATCTTACCCAAAATTAGGGAAGAATTAAAAGCTGAAATTTATAACCATTCCTTGCTCAAGTCCCTGCAGGCTCTACAGCATATCCAGAAAGCTACCCATAAACTTGTTCGAGACGCCCTGCCAGTGCCCACCTCGGACCCTGTACATCCTTTTCAGCCTGGGGACTCCGTGTGGGTAAAGAAGTTCACTGCTCAAGGACTCACCCCAACTTGGAAGGGACCTTACACTGTCATCCTGACTATGCCCACAGCTGTCAAGGTTGACGGCATCCAGACCTGGCTACACCACTCTCAGCTGAAGGCAGCAGGAGCAGAATGGACCACCGACACCACCTCGGACCCCTTAAAGATAAGACTCTCGCGGGTATCAAGGTCCTAACCTTTTTTCTGTTCTGTATAAATGGGAATCCCCATAAACCAATACTATGGGACTGGGAACTCCGAAAAGGGGTCACGGGGCAAGTAATCGCCCGTACTACTGTAGAGGAAAGACAACAAGCCGTCTTTGTCCTTGATCTATGTTCTTTGATAGCAGTAAGGACCCCCCCTAGACCTGTCCCTTTAGGCCGCCGGGGGTTAGGGGGGCTTCAAGCAAGTTGTGGCACGGTAGGCCAAGAGAGGAGATTGCAAACAATGGGAGTCTACATCTGCCCTGGCTCCGGGGAGGTTGAGGCCAAATGCCGGGATTCAGGGCAATTTTACTGCCCCTCCTGGGGATGTGAGACTATCTCTACCATCTCAGGACATGAGAAAAATAGTGACCCCCACATAAGCTTCCAGAAACTCCTCACTGGCCCCTCTTTCCCTTGTAAAATAACAGAATGTAACCCAGTAGAAATAAAAGTTATCAGCAAAGGAGATTTCTATTGGTCAACAGGAAGGACCTGGGGAATAAGAATCTATTCCTATAGTGTAGACCCAGGAGCTCTCTTCACAATCCAGAGGAGGGCCAAACCAGAACCTGAGAAACCCACAGATCCGCCCTCAGCCCTGGCCCTGCCCATACCTGTTAAGCCACCCCAGGCCTTGCCCAATTCGCCTGAGCCCACCAGAGAAACTAGGGCAAGGACCTCACTTTTACCTCACAGCCCTTCTCAGGAATCTTCCCTTCTGGAGATGTTGGGAACTGTACATCAGTTCATTAATACCTCACAGCCTACGGTTGGGAGGGACTGTTGGTTATGTTTAGACCCCAGACCACCCTATTATGTAGGTGTGGGAATTTCCCAGGATATCCCCCAGTTCCAGGGAACGAGTAATTGTTCCTGGGATCAGCCTAGGCTAACCTTGGGGGATCTTCAAGGACAAGGTAGCTGTCTGCTCTCGCCAAACTTTCCCCTCCAACGATCCCCTTATGCAGACTCATGTAATCAAACCCATTGGGGAAATAGTAGCTTCACTACCTATTACCAAGCGCCTGAGCAGACCTGGTTAGCTTGCACAAATGGCTTAACCAAGTGTGCCTCCTCAGACCTATTCAAGGAAGGGGAGGACCCCCTCCTCTGTGTCCTGGTTTATATCCTCCCACAGATTTTCATATACAACGGGAACGAAGGAAGAGCCCACATGTACTCAGGCCTTTCATCAAACCGATACAAAAGGGCTCCTGTCTTGGTTCCCCTCCTAATAAGCCTGGGTATTGCAGGATCAACTGCTATTGGGGCCTTGGCTCTAATAAAAGGGGATATGGACCTGAGGGAACTAAGTAAACAGGTAGATATGGACATAAGACACCTCGAAAGTTCCATCTCCCATCTAGAGAAGCAAGTAGACTCCTTAGCTGAAGTAGTATTACAGAATAGACGGGGATTGGACCTTCTCTTCATGAAACAAGGAGGATTATGCATGGCTCTTGGGGAAACTTGCTGTTTTTATGCTAATAATTCAGGAATAATCCGAGAAAGTTTGGCCTTAGTGAGAAGAAACTTAGAAGAGAGAGAAAGAAAAAGAGAACAATCAGAAACATGGTTCCAAAGTATGTTTAATTGGTCCCCCTGGTTAACCACCCTTTTATCTGCAGCAGCAGGGCCTCTGGCCCTACTGATCTTAGCTTTAACCATTGGACCTTGCCTAGTAAACTGCCTCCTAAGAACCAT